CAGCAGAAAGGTGTCAAGGAATAACTGACTTTAAAATACAAGAGCGATTAAACTTCCGGTCTGGCTGAAGTAGACGAGCGCAAATTGTTGAAGAAAGGAACACCCTTCCGGGTTAAAAGTTTCACTTAATAAATGGTTTCTTCCAAGCATTTAACTTCATTTTTGCCTAACCATTGCCTGCCTACATTCTATCGAACTATAGACAAAAATATTATGATTGATCGATTTGTGCATCCTTAAAACAGTCTGCATATTATACCTCGTGAATGCCAAAATGTGCGTAAGAATCGAAGTAGTAATCTCTGCTAGTCATTTCTTCGTAGGGCACATTGGGTACCTCTTCCTTGGAACTTGACATCGCCTCCACGCCGTTTTCACAAGCGTTGTCGCCTTCAGCCATGTTTTCTAACCCTAAATACTTTCGATCATTAGCACAGCAGGTAAAAGAACAATCGAACATGTATATGCCGAATCGACACGATATTATAGCACCGATACATGGAGTAAGCAAGACAATCCTTCGGCTTTTAAGTATTTTACAGTGATTTAATGTATGGTATTAAAATTATTTTATTAATTCTTTCACTTTTAAATGCATGATTGCTACATATAAATATGACAAAGTATGCAAAGTAACATGGGAAGGTGTCGGCTTCGAGTAACTAAAGGAAATAAGACGAACCAGTTGGCACGAAAACGAACAAGAGTGGGCATTAATGCAGCAGCGAAGAAGTTGAAATTGTAATATGCAGGGCACGTTGCAAGAGAAAGACCATCGCGGATCTAAAAAATATTGGAATGGATTGCAAAACACGGTAAAGGATCCATGCAAAATCTTCAAAATCAACAAAAAAATATGTTTGAGCAAGTACTGTCGATAAAAATTGCTTAAGAAGGAACTTAGTGGCGAAATCTTCTACCTATTCATTCAGCAATGACAAAAATGCATGTAACAGCAGAGCTACCCAGAAATCTACAACAAAAAACAACGATAAAATTTCACTTCGTCTGAAGCACCAACTGCACTACAGATCTTCATATTATTTTAGTTTTTTCAACTGCCTACTTTCGTATTAACATGCAGGTTCGGCCTAATCATGAATTCTGAATGGGTCAGACGTGACATGACATTAAACCACCGTCAGAACTAACCCCAAACAAAACAGAAACACAAACTAGAAAACTATTGCTTCAGTCGTCAAACGAGAGTGAATTTAGAGAAGCAGTGAATCAACGAGGTTCATAGAAAAATTTCAGTTTTAAAAGGGACAAAATTTTAGCATTTAACACAGCAGCCTTAGAGTAGATACATTTATTTTACTATTTTATTTGCGGTTGGTCTTAATAAATGGCTGCCCTTGAAAAATGACTGTTTAGCTTACTTGTCTGCTCTTATTCCTTATGAAAAAACTACGAAATCACCCGATAAATGTGAACAAGTCATGAACCTAAATTTCAGTAAGCCAAATCTCATGAATTTTTCTGATGCCGGATTGAACACCTGGCGATTCTGCTTACGCACAAGTGACAAGCCTAAAGTGGGACCGCCTTTCAGGAATCAAATCTCTTGTTGGCTGGTTGACCAGTTTATGAATTTGGTTTTCAGTTAGTTTCGAAGATTTGCATTTTTCTAAGCTCTATGACAACGAATGGGTCATGTATACCAACTTCCGGCAGTGATCAAAGTAGATATTCTCCAAAAATTCAGCATCTTATAGTGGAAATCAATACTTTCTAGAAA